CGTGAGCCCAGGCCGGTTCCGTTAGCAGGTGTGACGGCAGAACGCGCGGCTGCAGCGCCAGCAGGAGACGGGAGGCTCTCCCTGCATCGTAACCTGCACCCCGACCTCAGACGCCCTTTCTCATGTACGAAGAGCAAACAGCAGCGACTGCTGGGAGGCGAGGGAAGGATCAGCACTGAGTCAAGGCCAACCCCGGGCCAGGAAGGAGCTAGCGCACCCGGTCTGGTCTGCGGTGTCTCGTTTAGAGAAGCGAGGGAGGCCGCGCAGGAGCAGAGCAGGGAGGTCGGAGAAAGGGAGAAACACGGGGACCTGTGTTCCACGTGAGGTTCTTTTCTTTGGGATTAAGCAGACTCTGGGGCCTGAGCAGGATTTAGGGGGGGGACCCTGAGAGTGACGGGCTGGGGTGTCTCCAGCCTGGCACGTGGGTGCAAAGTGGATTTTTTTTAAGTGAAAAAAATATGCTGATTATTGAAAAATAAGATGAGACTAAAAATAGAGTCTGGGCGAGAAGCTCTGTTTCCGTTTAAAAAGCACCGGGAGATACCAGGCGAGTTCCTTCTCGCGTTTCCCTGATCTGGTCAGAGAGGCGGGGGCACCGGGACGCTCACTCCCTCGTGGATTCCCTACCCCCTGCCCAGGTCCACAGCGAGGGCCCAGCACCCACCCTGGTCAGCTCTCTGGCAGGTGGACAGTGACGAAGCCCATTCTCCAGATGTGGGAAACTGAGGCCGAGAGGAGTCAAACGTGAAGCGAGTCCTTAAATCTTTGACTTAAGTTCAAACCCAAGTCTGGAGCCGTTCCACTGCCCCTCAGCAAACACAGATGAGTAAATACTCATGTTCGTTAAAGCAAACTCTAGGGGAGATGTCTTTGGGGGAGATTTTGCCCTTTGTGACTTTGTCTGCCTTGGGCAAGTCAAATCCTTCTCTGGGCCCTGGTTTTCTCTTCCATAAAATGGGACCATGTCACCTGCCTCCCAGGGACGCTGAGGGTAAAGTGAGTGACAGGGCTGTGGGGTTATGCTTAGACCAGACCTGCCTGTGGGTACCATTAGAACAGTAGCTGCTTTGCGCCAAACCTGATCTGTTAGCAGAAGCTGGCCTGGCAGGCGGCAGTCCAGGCAACAGTGGTCCCAGGATCCCCCATCTCTGATCCTGGGGCACCTCCCTAAGCCAGACAAACCTTTCTCGGGCTGGCTCAGCACTGAGCCCTGCCCAGCTGGAGCAGGAGACTAAGCCTTGATTCTATAAATAGCTCCCTGGCCGGTCACCATGGAAACCTCCCAGAGGGGTGGGTCAGCCCCCCTTGGGGGACACTCCTCCCCAGGGAGGCTCAGGAGGGACAAGCTTTTCAGAAAAGAGGCTCCTGGGCTCGGAGGCGGGGAGTCCCCGCGAGGTCGGGGCTCGGAAGCGGGGAGTCCCCAGGAGGTCAGGGCTCGGAAGCGGGGAGTCCCCTATGGATCGAGGCTCGGAAGCGCGGTCCTACCTGGAAATCACGAGCTTCCCACGTGGGAGGCGGTGCTGTTCGGGTTCACCTGCGGGAAGACACAGGAAGGTCACGCCAGGTCCAGCCCTCAGCATCACGGCCGGCACACACACTCACCCATCCCATATTCCCTGCACACCTACTATGTGCCAGGTTCTGGGAAACGTGAGCCTGGCAGACCAGGCCTGCTCTCATGTAGCTTATGTTCTAGGGCCGTGGTCGGCAAACCGCGGCTCTCGAGCCACATGCGGCTCTTTGGCCCCTTGACTGTGTCTCTTCCACAAAATACCATGTGCGGGCGCGCCGGTCCCTCCGGCTCCGCCGGTGCCTATGCTGATGCTGATCTGCACCCTTTCGCCGCAGTAAACCATCAACATGAGACTAATGGGCTTTCTGAGTTCTGGGTCCTCCCAGCAAATCACCAGACCGCGGGGCCCTTGGGGACCCGACACAGGGTGGGCCGAGCCCGGCGGGACCGTTCTTGCCTTCGCAAGACCCACACCTGTCCCTCCATGAAGTAAGACACCGACAAACGAGTCCCTGGTCACTTTATTCAAATAATAGATCTATTTTCTGTGTCCATTTAAGGGCTGGGGAGGAATCAAAGAAAGCCTCATATATTAAATTTTTAAATAGATTCTTTGAATTCAAAAATAGGGCCTAGGAGAGGCACGGGGTGGCCTGGTCCCAGCCAGCAGCGCCGCCCAGGCGCCCTGCACAGGAGCGAGGCGGCAAGGCCACTTCTTAGAAAAAGTTCTCGCGGGAAAATATAAAAACCAAGTTTCCAAAGCTGGACGGTGTCCACACTCCCGCCCTCCATCCCGGAGGGTCCGAAGGCAGCGTGTTTCAAGGAAAGTTTCCAAAGATCCGGCTTTGCAAACATATGCAAATCACCCCTGGGCAGCAGTCCCTTTGCCGGTTAATAGCAAGCAATATGCTTGGATTAGAGTCCGATTTCCACTGGAGGCAGCTTCTCCCCTTCCTGGCGACAGCCACTGCGGAGACCTGAAAGCAGGGGAGCCGTGAGCCCAGGCCGGTTCCGTTAGCAGGTGTGACGGCAGAACGCGCGGCTGCAGCGCCAGCAGGAGACGGGAGGCTCTCCCTGCATCGTAACCTGCACCCCGACCTCAGACGCCCTTTCTCATGTACGAAGAGCAAACAGCAGCGACTGCTGGGGGACGAGGGAAGGATCAGCACTGAGTCAAGGCCAACCCCGAGCCAGGAGGGAGCTAGCGCACCCGGTCTGGTCTGCGGTGTCTCGTTTAGAGAAGCGAGGGAGGCCGCGCAGGAGCAGAGCAGGGAGGTCGGAGAAAGGGAGAAACACGGGGACCTGTGTTCCACGTGAGGTTCTTTTCTTTGGGATTAAGCAGACTCTGGGGCCTGAGCAGGATTTAGGGGGGGGACCCTGAGAGTGACGGGCCGGGGTGTCTCCAGCCGGCACGTGGGTGCAAAGCGGATGTTTTTTTTTTTAATGAAAAAATATACTGATTATTGAAAAATAAGATGAGACTAAAAATAGAGTCTGGGCGAGAAGCTCTGTTTCCGTTTAAAAAGCACCGGGAGATACCAGGCGAGTTCCTTCTCGCGTTTCCCTGATCTGGTCAGAGAGGCGGGGGCACCGGGACGCTCACTCCCTCGTGGATTCCCTACCCCCTGCCCAGGTCCACAGCGAGGGCCCAGCACCCACCCTGGTCAGCTCTCTGGCAGGTGGACAGTGACGAAGCCCATTCTCCAGATGTGGGAAACTGAGGCCGAGAGGAGTCAAACGTGAAGCGAGTCCTTAAATCTTTGACTTAAGTTCAAACCCAAGTCTGGAGCCGTTCCACTGCCCCTCAGCAAACACAGATGAGTAAATACTCATGTTCGTTAAAGCAAACTCTAGGGGAGATGTCTTTGGGGGAGATTTTGCCCTTTGTGACTTTGTCTGCCTTGGGCAAGTCAAATCCTTCTCTGGGCCCTGGTTTTCTCTTCCATAAAATGGGACCATGTCACCTGCCTCCCAGGGACGCTGAGGGTAAAGTGAGTGACAGGGCTGTGGGGTTATGCTTAGACCAGACCTGCCTGTGGGTACCATTAGAACAGTAGCTGCTTTGCGCCAAACCTGATCTGTTAGCAGAAGCTGGCCTGGCAGGCGGCAGTCCAGGCAACAGTGGTCCCAGGACCCCCCATCTCTGGTCCTGGGGCACCTCCCTAAGCCAGACAAACCTTTCTCGGGCTGGCTCAGCACTGAGCCCTGCCCAGCCGGAGCAGGAGACTAAGCCTTGATTCTATAAATAGTTCCCTGGCCAGTCACCATGGAAACCTCCCAGAGGGGTGGGTCAGCCCCCCTTGGGGGACACTCCTCCCAAGGGAGGCTCAGGAGGGACAAGCTTTTCAGAAAAGAGGCTCCTGGGCTCGGAAGTGCGGTCCCCGGGAGGTCGGGAGGTCGGGGCGGAAGCGGGGAGTCCCCGGGAGGTCGGGGCCAGAAGCGGGGAGTCCCCTAGGGATCGAGGCTCGGAAGCGCGGTCCTACCTGGAAATCACGAGCTTCCCACGTGGGAGGCGGTGCTGTTCGGGTTCACCTGCGGGAAGACACAGGAAGGTCACGCCAGGTCCAGCCCTCAGCATCACGGCCGGCACACACACTCACCCATCCCATATTCCCTGCACACCTACTATGTGCCAGGTGCTGGGAAACGTGAGCCTGACAGACCAGGCCTGCTCTCATGTAGCTTATGTTCTAGGGGAGGGGCTGAAGCGCACACACAGGCACGATGCTGGCCATGTGGCTTGTGAGCCGCAGTTTGCCGACCACTATTCTAGGGGGAGGGGCTGAAGCGCGCACACAGGCACGATACGCCCGGCAACACGTGGGCCACAGGATGACGGAGGGGCTGCTTCAGCCGGAGGAAGGGGCCGATACAGTGTGTGTGTGTGTGTATGTGTGTGTGACTGCGCTGCGGTGAAGAACCAGCATCTGGCCTTTGTCCTGTGCCCGGCACACAGCTCCTAAAACCCACAGCCTCTCCAAGCATCTTCTGAATGCTAATGAGATGGCTGGTGGCTGGGGGGCCCACAGAGCTTCAGGATGGGGGGCTGGTCGCCGGAAGGACCGAGGCATGAATAGAGGGGTGGGACTCTCAGCACCACACCCCCCGACCTTAGTAATCACTGGCCTGTGACCGAGGCAATCATGAGCCCTCCCCAGAAATCCCAGCTTCCCGCTGGGCGGGCGGTGCGTCCAGAGAGCCCTCCCCAACCCCTGCCTGGGCACCTCCCACGTGGCTGTTCCTAACTGTATCCTTTATAATAACCTGAGGAGTGGGCGCCGTGGGTGTCCTGGGCACCCCCTGTGGCTGGCGTCTGGCGGGCAGTCCGCTGGGACTGTGCCTCCACCTGAGTCAGTGTCGGGCTGAACTGAGCGCCAGCTGGTGCCCAGACAGTCAGAGGACCGGCTGCCAGTGTCTGACACCCTCACACTCCACAAGCAACAATCTAAAAGGAGAAACCGAGTCCCGCCCCGCGGAGGTCAGAGGTCGGGAGGGACAGCATTCCCGCGGACAGAACAGCAGAAACCTGGAGGGAGGGTGTCCCAGCCCAGGGAGTGAGCAGACACTGTCACATGAGCTGCAGGTCTAGTGTGTGATGCTTTGTTTTGCTGGCTTAATATTTCCCTGTTTTTGGTTTCACGATGACCACGTGGGAGGACCACACGTGACTGCGGCTCGCTGACGGCCCCTTTACTTGGCTCTGCCCTGCGGTCACTTGCAGGGTTTGCAATATCCTGGCTGAGTCATGGGCGGGGCGCAGAACGCGCGGCTGCAGCGCCAGCAGGAGACGGGAGGCTCTCCCTGCATCGTAACCTGCACCCCGACCTCAGACGCCCTTTCTCATGTACGAAGAGCAAACAGCAGCGACTGCTGGGAGGCGAGGGAAGGATCAGCACTGAGTCAAGGCCAACCCCGGGCCAGGAAGGAGCTAGCGCACCCGGTCTGGTCTGCGGTGTCTCGTTTAGAGAAGCGAGGGAGGCCACGCAGGAGCAGAGCAGGGAGGTCGGAGAAAGGGAGAAACACGGGGACCTGTGTTCCACGTGAGGTTCTCTTCTCTGGGATTAAGCAGACTCCGGGGCCTGAGCAGGATTTAGGGGGGGGACCCTGAGAGTGACGGGCCGGGGTGTCTCCAGCCGGCACGTGGGTGCAAAGCGGATGTTTTTTTTTTTTGGGGTGTCTCCAGCCTGGCACGTGGGTGCAAAGTGGATTTTTTTTAAGTGAAAAAAATATGCTGATTATTGAAAAATAAGATGAGACTAAAAATAGAGTCTGGGCGAGAAGCTCTGTTTCCGTTTAAAAAGCACCGGGAGATACCAGGCGAGTTCCTTCTCGCGTTTCCCTGATCTGGTCAGAGAGGCGGGGGCACCGGGACGCTCACTCCCTCGTGGATTCCCTACCCCCTGCCCAGGTCCACAGCGAGGGCCCAGCACCCACCCTGGTCAGCTCTCTGGCAGGTGGACAGTGACGAAGCCCATTCTCCAGATGTGGGAAACTGAGGCCGAGAGGAGTCAAACGTGAAGCGAGTCCTTAAATCTTTGACTTAAGTTCAAACCCAAGTCTGGAGCCGTTCCACTGCCCCTCAGCAAACACAGATGAGTAAATACTCATGTTCGTTAAAGCAAACTCTAGGGGAGATGTCTTTGGGGGAGATTTTGCCCTTTGTGACTTTGTCTGCCTTGGGCAAGTCAAATCCTTCTCTGGGCCCTGGTTTTCTCTTCCATAAAATGGGACCATGTCACCTGCCTCCCAGGGACGCTGAGGGTAAAGTGAGTGACAGGGCTGTGGGGTTATGCTTAGACCAGACCTGCCTGTGGGTACCATTAGAACAGTAGCTGCTTTGCGCCAAACCTGATCTGTTAGCAGAAGCTGGCCTGGCAGGCGGCAGTCCAGGCAACAGTGGTCCCAGGACCCCCCATCTCTGGTCCTGGGGCACCTCCCTAAGCCAGACAAACCTTTCTCGGGCTGGCTCAGCACTGAGCCCTGCCCAGCCGGAGCAGGAGACTAAGCCTTGATTCTATAAATAGTTCCCTGGCCAGTCACCATGGAAACCTCCCAGAGGGGTGGGTCAGCCCCCCTTGGGGGACACTCCTCCCAAGGGAGGCTCAGGAGGGACAAGCTTTTCAGAAAAGAGGCTCCTGGGCTCGGAAGTGCGGTCCCCGGGAGGTCGGGAGGTCGGGGCGGAAGCGGGGAGTCCCCGGGAGGTCGGGGCCAGAAGCGGGGAGTCCCCTAGGGATCGAGGCTCGGAAGCGCGGTCCTACCTGGAAATCACGAGCTTCCCACGTGGGAGGCGGTGCTGTTCGGGTTCACCTGCGGGAAGACACAGGAAGGTCACGCCAGGTCCAGCCCTCAGCATCACGGCCGGCACACACACTCACCCATCCCATATTCCCTGCACACCTACTATGTGCCAGGTGCTGGGAAACGTGAGCCTGACAGACCAGGCCTGCTCTCATGTAGCTTATGTTCTAGGGGAGGGGCTGAAGCGCACACACAGGCACGATGCTGGCCACACCCGGCACCACGTGGGCCACAGGATGACAGTGGGGCTGCTTCACCTGGAGGGAGGGGCCGATAGGGGGTGTGTGTGTGTGTGTGTGTGTGTGTGTGTGTGTGTGT